TCGATCAAATTTTAAACAGCGTTCAAAAGAGGGAAAAGATAAGAAATGGCAGAGAAGTGTAGGGAGATAACTTTAAAGTTTATGGGCTAGACAGTTAAGGTATGACCTCCAAAAGGTGGGGCAAGGCAAGGAGGGTATGGACAAGAGAAAGTTGGAGGAAGACAGGTCTCAAAGGATTATAGGACTGGAAAATGTTACATGGATAGAAGAATGTGAGGCCATTGAGAGTTTTAAACATAAGGCCAAGAATTTTAAAATTGAAGTGTTGGAATTTGCTCAATAAGTACGTGGGTAATGGGTGAATATGAGACTCGATGCTAATTGGATCAGCAAGTAGAGTTTTAGATGAGATTAAATTGTGTGGAAACTGGTAAATAATCAACAGGCCAGAAATGCTTTGGAATAGTCGGCTCTGTAAACAAAATAACACTGCTGAAGGTTTTTGTAACAGATATGCTATGCTCAGGCAGGCTAGAGACAGATGATATCATGGAGATGGAAATAAACAATCTTTGTAATAGTAATGATATGTAGTTGGAAGCCTGGCTCAGAGCCAAATAATCTGGTTCATCCTGAGATAGAGGCCAAAGAGATGAATGGAGTCACAGATTAGGAAACAGACTTCATGATGAAACTGAAGACAATGGCTTCAGTTTTCCAAACTTTCCATTGGTATAGCACTGCCAGCTGATGGAAATAATAGTCGAGAGTAATGGCTAAGTGGGCTTTCCTGAGCCTGTAGTGTCATCATGGTTTCAGTGCAATTTCAGTGGGGTCAGAGACAGCACTGTGGGCTCAAAGTAGACAATGAGGGCCAGCTTCAACTGCCTGATTCTGGGGTAGCTGTTGAATTTTTTTTTGTCTCCTGAAGGTTGCAGTTTTTACTTAATATATTTTCTCAGTAGTACAAAGAGTCATTGTATCTTCATGTGTTCGGTGTGCTTTTTTCTGTCCTACTCACAGATCCCCAGTTTTGTTCTAATGGATACCTAGTGATCTAAGCTTGTCCCATTTAGCATCGTGATTGTGCCACATAACAAGATGAAGCTCATCCTCAGTGTGAGGACAGGAGATAAAAAGCAGGACAAATCCAACCTGGCCAATCACCATGCTTTCAATCATTAGCAAAGTAATGAAAGGAGTCGTCGACAGTGCTATCCAACACCGGTGATTTACCAATAACTTACTAACCAATGTCCAGTTTGGATTCTGCCAAACTTATTACAGCCTTGATACAAAGAGATGAGCACGAGTTTAATTGGCTCTGGCATAAGGGCAGTCTTAGAAGATATATTGCAATGGGAATATGAGTAAAATTGAAGCCAATGGATATCAAGCAAAAGCTTATTCAGTAGAAATCATACCTAACAGAAAGGAAGATGGTTGTGTTTGCTGAAACACAACCAATTTAGTCCAAAAATATTGCTGCAGAAGTATCTCAGCATGACATCCTAAGCTGAACCACCTTCAGCTGTCTCTTCAATGACCTTCCTTCCATGATAAGGTCAGAAATATGGGTTTTTGCTAGTGATTATTCAGCTCCATTTTAAACTTTTCAGTTAATGAAGCAGTCATTGCCACATTCAACAAGACCTGTACAAGACCAGGTATGAGTTGATAAGCGTCCAGCAGCATTAGCTCCTCATGACGTCCAGGTAATGATCATCTCAAACAAGGACAAGTCTAACCACCTCTCCTTGGCTTTGTTATCACCAAATGAGCTACTGTTGACACCAGAAACTCAACTCAATCAGCAATATTAAGGGTTGTAGCTAATTGAGTAGGGTACTCTGTGGTAAGTAGTTCACTTCCTGGTTCCCAAATCTAGCCTGCCCCAACAGAGTCGGAACAGAATACTTGTCACTAGCATGGTTGAGTATAGTTCTAACCACTTCAAAAAGCTTTATCCACCTTGGACAATGCAGTTGGCTTGATTGATAGCTAATCTACCACCTTAAACATAATTGCACACTGTGGCTGTAGTATATACTATTTTAAGATACACAGCATCAGCACTCCAAAGTTTCATCAATGGTACCCCCAAATCCACAACGGCACCACTTGAAGGAAAAGGGCACAACGTGCGTGGGACACTATCACCTTCAAGACACACACACCATTCCTTCTGAGTCAGAATCGCAAAGGCTCAATCTAGCCACATAGAGTTTGATTTTACCACTTGGATCACAGTGGTTTAAGAAAGCAATCATCACCTTCAGGTGGGTAGCTGGAAGGAGGCAATAATAAACAAACAAAGATATGAATTACAACCAGGAGTAGGCCATTCAGCTCCATCATTGGCATAAGATCCTGGCTGAGGTGATTATGGTCTCAGCTCTACTATTCTGTCTATCTTTGACTCACTTTGATTCCCTTGTCAGTCAAAAATCTAACTAATTTAGCCTTAAAAATATTCAATCACACTCCCTCCACCACTCTCTGGGGAAGAAAATTCTACAGACTAATGACCCTCTAAGAGAAAAATATTCTCATCATCGCTATCTGAAATGGGAAACCCCTTATTTTTAAACAGTATCCCCTTCTTTGAGGCTGGCTTTTCTAACAATATTCCAAGAACGCATTTAAAAGTTATGTTACATAGTAGTAAATAGCAGAATTCCTTTACTTGGTGAAATCAGAGTTTAAATTTACATCTTATTGACAGTTCATTGTATTGTAGTTGAAGGTCCATTATAAAAAGCTGCATTTTTAAATGACATACAAATATATGTATCCAGAAAATTGGCTTCTTAAAGGGGCAAATGTTGTTGGAACTCTAATTTGTTAACCAGTAAAAGGGTCTATAATTTCAACACGGCTTCCCTGGGTGCCTATAAAAAGTATAAGGAAGGATAGTCAGTTCTTCCTCATTTTAATATTGTAGTTGACAGATGGTTGTTATATCTTCCTCTCAGAATGTTTTCCTATAAACTCTGTTTTACACCTAAAAGTATTCCACAAGGGCAATGGAAGGAGAGAGAACATTGTAGCATAGAGATAACAAAAGCATGCACAAGAGTTTCAACAGCAAACGAAAGCGGCAGGAGGACAGACAAATTATTTTGCTTGGCTTTAAATGGGTCATTGTTTTCATAGTGAGGATAGCCATTGTGAGTGTAGCTCAGGATCAAACAAGATATTGAGATTCCCGGATATTGGTTCACCCTGAGACAGTGATCAAGAAGGGAGATGAACTCAGAAGGTAGATAGCAGTGTTTGGGGCTGAAGGCAATGGGTTCAATCTTCCCAATTTAATTAGAGGAAGTTTAATCTCCTCTCCACTACCACTGCAGCTTCCCCTAACCAAGCACTGGATTCCAAGCAATCTGACAATACACAGAAAGTGGAGAGGTTGCAAAGCTTTGCTTATGCTATTCTTTCTGATGCAATCATGTCTACCTCAGCACAAAACAATGAGATCCTTTCAACCTCGACATACTAGAGGTTCCACAAAGAACATTCATGTCCTCTTGCAGCAAAGTAACACACTGATTAGTCAGCTGAAAATAGATCTTAAAAAAAGACAATTTTCACACATATCTGATCAAAGACCTATCTTGGACTCATGAGTAATTTAAAATTGCATTCACACATGAGCCAAGTACTTTATAATCATGCTTTAAATGTAACTTTTAAATTCTTTGCATTTTTTAATGTAGATTTATGTTGCTCAAAAAGATCTATTTGTGACTTTTAATTTCTTGCAATTGCAATAGCATCCTGGGGAACTATAAAAAAGCCTCAACATTTGTATAGAAGTCCACCTTTTTTTTTGTAAATCATTCGATCTGTAATTATAAACAATGACATAATGGCCATCTTTTATATTCAGTTGTTAGATCTGTAGTCTGCCTAGCCACGCAGCAAAAAGATACTATCAGACTGGAAAATTAACTTGCTTGTTTCAAACATCATTCTAATGTGGCAAAAGTTATGGTGGAAATTGCATATAGAACAAAGGAATAGCAATTCCTTTAAGTTTTTATTCTCTGACAGCCAATGAATGTTTTCTGCTAAATTGCATCATAAGCCACCTCTGTTTATTGTTTCTCTATCAATGAGTTTATATGATGTCATACTAATTTTTCTCAATTTTTACTGCTGAATATTTTGTGTGTCTTGATAAATATGTGGTAACCGATGTACATCAATGTGTAGACAAATTCTTACAAAATACTAAACCTTATTACTTTATTTATCTAATACTAACACATGCACACATTTGGACAAGGGATTTGATTTTAGGGTTCACTTGTTTTGAAGATTTTTTTTTTATATCCATGATATAAACCCGATTACGTCTCTAGTAAACCATGTATATTTTCTGTTTTACCTTTATATTTTCAAAACTCCCAACAATTTTTGGATGTAAAACTTAATTATAAGGCATTATTCCCAGTGTGACTGAAAACAGTTTCTTTTTCCCTATCGCAGTAAGGTTGCGTTTTTTCTGGAAATTTCTTTTCTTTTATTGTTCTCCTACAGCAGCTGATGGCTGCTCTTTAGTTTGGTTATGCTCTAAAGCACATGCTGCTAGGCCATGATAAGCTTTACAGGAATAAAAACAGCTAACACGTCCATCAAAGTATTTTAATTTTACATCTTAAAGACTAGGTGGGGCCAATTTATGCATTTTGAACAACATCAAAAGCATGTTGCTTTTAGACAAAAGGGTAAAATAAATCTCCAGCCACCTTTATGGAACTGAGTGAAACAAAAATGTTTTACTCATCAGCTTTGCAGTCACTGGTTTGCCTCAGCTAGAACAAAACTGCTGAAGCATTTAGAGAAAATTAACCCCCCATCCTAGCAGCCAGATGTGACTGGCTTCTGATGAATGCACATGAGTGGGCTGAAAAATCAAGAGACTGTGAAATTCCTGTCAGGCCTATACAGTATAGAATGGGCTATTGACTGCTTTCTGTATTCTCTCCATCATTCTTTTTGAACACTGCCATTAATTTCCCCTCCTACTTTGACTTTTTTTTAAATCCCATCAGCTCTCTGTACTGCAAACCAGGATGCATAAGGCACTAGTGGAATACAGAAAACAACAGGGCCTTTACAGCCAAGCAGGACTGGCCAAATCCCAGGCTCTTTCAAACGAAAATGCTCGGACAATAATAGCTATGCAGGTATGTTTTAAAGGAGTTGCTAGGAGATGATAGTCTTAAAATTGAAAATAAAATCATTGCAAGTGGATGCCCTGTATAAAAATTCAAATTCAATGGCATAATGGAAATTTTATTCAGAGGATAAAAACTGCAAGAAAGATGTTATGGATGTAGTATATCTGTTTTAGTCCTTTTCAGTAACTAAGCTGCAATTAGAAATTCTTCTGTTTTTATTTATTTTTTTGAATCACATATAGCCCATTTTAACTCTTTTTGACTTTAGAAGACATTATTTTGTTACTATTTACAAGTTTACACATTTTTTATTTAAATGGCTCAAGACTTTGGAAAGTTTATGACTTGTAAAATTAATTTACCCCTTATTTACACCATATTTATTTCAAAGCACCAAATTATCTCAAAATATAACCCAATAACATTTCCGCTGTGTAACACGAATATTACAGCTACACTGCATAAACATTTTATTCCTGTTTTAGTCTTTCTTTCAAACAAAACAAAATCACTTCCTTTTACACATAGAATTCCCTACAGCTTGGAAGTGGGCCATTCAGCCTATCAAGTCCACACCAACCCTTGAAAGAACATCTCAGCCAAACCCACCCCATCTCTATAACCCCACATTTCTCATGACTAATCCGTCTAGCTTACACATCCCTGTACACTATGACCAATTTAGCATGGTCAATCCACATAACCTGCACATCTTTGGACTGTGGGAAGAAACCCACACAGATACTGGGCGAATGTGCAAATTCCACACAGTCACCCAAGGGTGGAATCGAACCTGGGTCCCTGGCATTGTGAAGTAGCATTGCTAACCACTGAGCCACTGTACTGTTCCCAGTTTGTTCCCAGGTGCAAATCAGTATCTCTGTGTCCTCCCCAAATCTTACAACATTCTGAGATCTCTGCACTCCTTCAATTTTGTCATCTTGCACATCTCTAATTTGCTTCACCTCGCCATTGCCAGCTATGGCTTTAGCTGCTTCAGTAACATGCTGTGAGATTCCTTCCCTTAAAACCTACCTACTTGACCAAGTCTATGTCTCAGTTATCCCAAAATTTTATTTTTGCTTACCATGACATCTAGTTTGATGGTTGCTTCAGGTGTTTTTCAGTATTTTCAGGTGTTTTATTATTTTAAATGCACTGTATAACTAGATGCTATGTTGTAATGCAGAAAATAAACTAATTAAAATAATCATTGTTAAACTGTTTATGAAATCATCGGGTTGAATTTTCCCAGCCCTGTGTTGGAGATAAGAGGAGCAAGTAAACGAGGGGGAATTCACATCAGAACATCTCCCTTATGCAATCCACCACTAGCGCAGTTTCCTGAGGTGAGTGGAGACCCAGACTGGCTACCTATTAGAGACAATCATCCAATTATGCTGATTTCACACCGAATTACTTCTGATTTTGCATGCATACTAGTATTTCCCTGGATGGAGCAGCAACCCTACGCATGAAACCTGCCATCTCCATGAAGATAGCCTTCTTAGCTGCAGACCAATGAAGTAGGAGCCTCCATATCCCAAAGAGGAACCACTAGCAGGAAAGGCTAACATAATGTACTCACAGGTACATAAGTCTGCTTCAAGCACTTATCAACTTCACCCTTAATGACTTTTATTTTGAACACAGGCCTCTGAAAGCACCTTTGTGTTGAGGTACACTGGTGGTGTCCAACATGGATCAGCAGTGCCAATCTATCCTGGTGAAGCTCATGTGTCTCCAGAGTGATCAATCCCTTAAAAATTGAAACCGCAGCATCAAGAACTCATCAACCACTCTAAGTGGATGACCCAGAGCTGGTGGAGACTGCCTCTGAAAAAATTGATTGATTAATTGATTTTATTGTCACATGTACCAAAATACAGTGAAAAGCTTTGTTTACAAGCGGTACAGGCAGATCACAGCAAGCAAAGGGTGACATTATTTGAGGCTAGAGTCCAGTCAACAGTCTGATAATGGCCGGAAAGAAGCTGTTCCTGAACCTGCTTGCGCGTTTGTTCAGGCTTCTGTATCTTCTGCCTGATGGAAGAGTTTGCAGGAGATCATTACCAGGGTGCGACGGGTCTTTGATGATGTTGGCCGCCTTTCCATGGCAGCAAGCTGTGTAAATAGAGTCCATGGCTGGAAGGTTGACTTCCATGATGGCCTGGGCTGTGCACACCACCTTCTGTAGTTTCTTACAGTCCCGGGCAGGGCAGTTGCCATACCTGGTCATTATGCACGCAGACAGTACGCTTTCAATGGTGCATCTATGGAAGTTGGTGAGGGACCTTATGGACATGTCAAATTTTCTGAACCACCTGAGGAAGAAGAGGCATTGTTGTGCCTTCGACTGTTGCCTTTACGTGGGAAGCCCAGGACAGGTCATCGATCATCGTCATTCCGAGGAACTTGATGCTATCACTCTCTCAACCTCAGTTCTATTGATGTAGATGGGGGCATGTTCTCCTCCGGTCCTTCTGAAGTCGATGATCAGTTCTTTAGTTTTGCCAATATTGAGAGACAGATTGTTTTCATTGCACCAAGACCTCTATCTCCCTTCTGTATTTTCACTCGTCATTGTTAAACATTTGTCTTATTACGGTGATGTCATCAACGAACGAGTAGATGGCTTTCGTTCGTAATTTGGCGACACAGTCATAGGTATATAGGGAGTACAGTAGGGGGCTGAGGACGCATCCTTGGGGGGCTCCATGTTATTATGGAGGAGGTGCAGTTACCTATCATCACTGATTGCAGCCTATGGGTCAGAAAGCTGAGGATCCAGTTGCAGAGGGCAGAGCCGAGACCAAGGTCATGGAGTTTTGAGATCAGTCCGGAGGGAATAATGGTGTTGAAGGCGGAGCTGTAATCAGCGAGCAGGTGTCTGACATAGCTGTCTTTGTTGTCCAAATGTTCCAGGGATGAGTGCAAGGCTAGGGATATGGCATCCTCTATGGACCTGTTATGTCGGTAGGCAAACTGTAGGGGATTGAAGCAGGTTGGGTGACTGGAGTTGATGTGGACATATTCCTTGTATGAGTGGCTTTGAATCTCCACTTAGACCTAACGTTGGAAATAATCCAAAGTTCATAAGAAAATCCAGTTTGTTTTAATACCTAGTACTTTGTTTTTAGTTTACAGCGACATATTTCATGGTTGTGCTATATTTATGAATTGGACTGAATTTCTTTGTGATTATGTTCATCCAACAGTGCATTTCATGCCATGTTGAGGTCAGTAATTGTGGATGTCTCATTACAGGAAAGATAATAATGTAATCAGTAACATGGTATAAGAAACATTTGCTCTTAGTAATTTTAAAACAATCAACATGAATATCTCTGATATAATGCAAATGTTTTGAGAAGAGTTCTTTCTAGCAGTTTGATTAAGTGGGCTGTTAAATTATGAAATAATATAAATTGTGATATTGAGCAATAAGTAACAAAAGGAAAATTACTTACAAACTCCAATAGCAGTTGTTATAATTGCACTCAATAAGACAGTTAGTTGACTGGCCTGTGGTGCCACTGGAATGTCCCCTCACATCGCCCATCTGTTCAGTTTCTGATTTAATCAGCAGGAGATCTCTGCAAACATCGAGTTGGGCATGCAGAAACTTCAAATCTCTGAAGCAACCTCTCTTGAATTACATTGTTACAATATAGTACAAATTAAATAAACTTTCAAAACAATTTATGGAATTTCCACATGATTCTCATGTGAGCAAAATGTAACAATGCTTTCATTACATACTCAAATTGTGATTTCCAAAGAAACGTTTAGGTACTGAAAGCCTATTGTTCTGCAGTATTTGGCTATGAAGACTAAAGGGGAACACCCTTGAGAGAAACAGTACAAAGTAATCTAATCGACTGTATTCTTATACATATTATGATAGAGATCATTCAAATCTTCCCCTCCCTGAGAAATAGGATTACCAATCTGCTCAGTTTCTAATTTAGTTGGCTGAAGACCTTTAATGCTTGGGATCCAGTCACAAAGAACTTTCTAGAATCCTTATGGGAAAATATCCCATAGGTCCATCTTCAACAAGTTTTAGTTGTACTGTGCATAGGGATTAACACCTTGATCCTGAATTCTAATATTAGCTGTCAACATAATTAAAATCCAGTTCTATTTGAGGCATTTCATAAGGTTGAACACTTAGCAATAACCCAAATGTATGCTTTGTGTATAGAAACTACATGGTGACTTTGAGGTTTGATGCTCAGTTTACAGTTCTCTTCTGGTTCAGGTTATTGTCTGACTACCAATGTTTGATTTGTTATGTGCTTTGTTTTCCTTAATACTTACGATATGATTAGTGAACTGTAATTTTTCATTTACTTTTGATATTTATCCACTCAAAAGATTTAGTTCTGTAGATGCAAGTAATCATAAATGTGATGAGTGCTTCCAAAATCCATCATTGTTACATTATTAAATCAATAATTGAGCAATTGTGGAAATGCTTGGTATGTCCAGCAGTAACTGTGAATAGACAAGCAGAAAACATACTGACCTTCCATCGGTTCTGATATAAAGAGATATTCACATACTTTCACAGAGATACTGAAGTGGGGTAAATGACCCAAACTCACTTTTACATACTTTACTATTGACCACATAGAGGTGTAGGCAGATTTGTGCAAAATCAACCTCACCCTCTTTCAAGAGGAATGGTACAGATAAAACCCAGGCAAAAGGAAAGGGATGATAATAACTTACACTGTCCTGTCAAGTGATGACGTTTACTGTAATAATTCAGTAGAATTTAGACAATTGCTAGTCTGAGTTCAGTGATTAATTGAAAAATCCCTCCATTTTCCTCTTGATCCCTGTGATATTGACTCATGCTCGACTACAATTCCAAGGGAAGACTTGGGGGCCATGCTTAAATGACCACTATTCACATGCAAGCCTCTGAAGTAGATGTCATTATGTTGTTTTACTATGAGAGCCTTTGGAATTTGTTCTGATCTCACCTTTGCCCAGTG